GGGGCGCTGCAGCCCGCGGAGCCTCCCGCCCGCGCGGGCTGGGGTCGCTCCGGCTCGGACTCCCCTCCCCGCCCGACGCGGCCATGGAGGACGAGCGCAAGGACGGAGCCTACGGTAGGAGCCGCCTCGGGCCCGCGGTCGCCTCGGCTGAGTTGGGGGGCCTGGGGGGAGGGGTACCTCCGAGATCATAAACACCCGCGCTGCAGCTGGGGGCCCTCTCCTGCTTCCCGGCCCAGCATTCCGCTCGGCGCGGAGCCCACGCCCCCCTGCTCCCGCCGGGTCGCCCCGCGTCCCCTCTCCCGGGAGCCCCCGCACCCCCTCCGGCTGATGGCCCGGGACGCATGGCGCATGCTCCGCCCGGGGAGGTCCGGTTATCTGGGCGGCTCAGATGCCAGGCGGGGGAGGGGAGGCTTGGCAACCGGGGCTCGGGAAAAGGGATAGGGCGCCGACTTTCCCCAACCCCCCTCCTCTTCTGGTTGCCTTAGTCCACTTCTTTCTCCTGCCTGCATCTCCCGAGAAGTAGCCGTCCCGGGCTTCTGGCGAGATGGGGAAACTGAGGCAAGCCTGGACAGACCGATTGCTGGGGGGGGGGGTGGAAGCCCATCAGTTCTTGCCAGCGGCCTGGAAGGACGGAAAGAAGGGCGCCCTCGCTGAGGTGGCAGGACAGAAGCAGGAAACCATTGAGAAACTTTCCTGGCCGTGTGCAAGGGACGGGGGGTGCCCGCTACCTTTTCGCGAGGTCCCTGTGACGCGGACCCCCCTTCAGCGAACCTCTGCGGGTAGCCTTCGCCTGGGTGCCCAGGGGTTGGGGCCAAGATGAGGCTCCTCCCTACCCACGCCCTGCAATGCCTCCCTCCCCTGGGTTCCCACGGAGGGGAGTGCCATCCTCAGTTTCTCTTTTCTCTTCTCCATTTTGGGTCCCAGGGCTGAGCTGGGCACGTGGCCCACGTAGCACTCCCCTGGGGCGAAGGGGCGCCGCTGCCCCTCCTCGTGCGACAGGAACTTCCTGGAAACTATGAGACAGAAAGCTTTGGGGAGGGGGCAGGAAACCGCCCAAAAATAATCAACAAAAACAAGCTGACAAGAGATGTGCCTCCCTCCTGGCTGCTGCCACCAGGGACTGTGGCCTCAGCAGGTTGCAGAGACAGATAGATGGGGGAGGCTGGGACCCTCCCTGCCCAGCCCAGCCTAGGGGGAAACACAGGAACCTGGCCACTGCCCAGCCACTCCCCTCCTTGCTTGAAGCTGCTGGCACAACCTCCAGGGGCCTCCTTGCTTTTGGTTTTGGGTTCAAGCCTCAGACCCTGAGTCTGTGGGTGCTGTGCATCCCTTGGGTGTGGCTGGCTGTCTCTGGGAATCTCAACCTGGAGTCCTGGCCAGGCCCTGCCTTCCTGTGGGAAGCACCTGAGGAATCTTGGGTCTCTGTAAGGCAGGGCTGGGGGCGGGGGATGGCAGAGTGGACAGTGATGTGATTCACCAAGCCTTGAATTTGGCCAAAGGGAGCCAGCCCTGGATGGGCCCAAGCAAACCCTCTCAGGCCCTGCCAGACCCACACTCTAGACAGGGGACCTCTGTGCCCAACAGAGGCTGTGCTGGGTGCCAGAAGCCCATTCCATCAACAAGTATTTATTGAGCTGCTTACAGGCAGGGTCTAGACACTGAGAACACAGCAGGGAACAAAGCAGAAAAATCTTTGAATAAATATATGATTTTAGGTTGTTACAAGTGTTGTGGAGCATTAAACAGGACAGCATGTGTGTGGGAGGATCATCTGGGATTATTTTAGGTGACCAAGGGCTGGAGTTGGAGCCAGTGGCTGCTGGAAGATTTGGGAGAAGTGTGTTCTAGGCAGAAGGAACAGCAAACAAACCATACAGCTACTTAATTATTTTTCTCTAATGCACAAGGAAGCCTGAGGTAGAGACTTCAGCTAGGTCTTATATCCAGGCCATCATCAGCTCCTCTAGAGGGGCCACCTGGCTTGACTCCTTGAAGTGGGGGGGGGGGCAGATCTCAGTTTGTAAATAGTCCATTCTTATCAGAACCAAAAACCTTGGGCCCTCAGGCTGCCACACGAAGTCCCTGCCAGATAATGAGGAGCTTTCCTTTGGGAATGGTGTTTCAAGAGTTGCTCACAAATCCCAATGCTCACATAGCCCTTGTATCCCAATGCCTTCCCATCCATCAGTTACCATGAATTTGGGGTGGGGTGGGGTGGGGTGATGGCAGACAGACCCAGGTTCAAATCCTGGTTCTGACACTTAGGAGTTATGTGGCCAAGGGAGAATTGGTGACATTTCTTAGACTCTGGATCCTTGTCTGCAGGGCTGGGCAGACCACACTCACTGGGGGGCAGCCTTTTGCACAGTGGCTGGTAGGCTCTACCTGCTCAAGAGGCCTCTGGGGCCCCTAATCCTAGGAACATGGATTTTCCGTGAGCTGATGGAAAAGCAGCCTTCTGTCAAGGCATAGACTTGGCTGGCCTGGGCAGAGCAGGAAGCTCCCTCCTCAGCAGACACCACATCAAGAGGAGGCAGCAGCATGGAGCAGACCAGAGAAATGGCTCCTGGCCCTGTTGGATGACAGCAATGTGTACTGCCATCCTTCCCGTCCACCCTTGGCATGATCATGGAAAAAGATTCTAGAACCCAAGACAATAGACTCCGTCAGGAGGGTGGGATGCGGTGGTAGGTGAGACAACAGTAATGGTGCTTGTTTAAAAAGCAGATTCCCGGGAGCGCCTGGGTGGCTCAGTCGGTTAAGCGACTGCCTTCGGCTCAGGTCATGATCCTGGAGTCCCAGGATCGAGCCCCACATTGGGCTCCCTGCTCAGCAGGGGGTCTGCTTCTCCCTCTGACCCTCCCCCGTCTCATGTGCTCTCT